GACTTACCAAGAATCCACCACTCTCTAAAGTTTGAAACTTTGAATTGCCYAGTCCAATACAGTTGTCAGCAAGAAACACGTTCAACAGTTAGAGGCTTGGAGCACTGGTGTCGCCCAAACTCAGCGCAAATGCCAAAAATGAAAAAAAAAAGAAAAAAGAAAAGATGTCGGCATTAAGAACTAGTGTCGCCGACGACTGTAGACGAAAAACAACCTTCTTCCACGTCTAGAAATGGCAGAATCTTTGTGAGTTTGTTCAGTCATTCATGCTCTCCTAGCTGAAAATGATTCTACACGAGTCACATCTCTCAAGCAGTTCATGGACAACAGGTTCAAAATCAAAGATCTTGGCCCCCCAAAATATTTTTTGGGACTTAAAGTCCACCATTCAGTTGATGACATATTTCTTAGTCAACATAAATACATCACTAATATTCTCCTTGACACCGGGATGCAAGACTGCAAACCATCACCAACACCCATGGAGGCCCAATGCCATTTTGATGACACTTCTAGCCCCATCTTGGCTTACCCATCGTCTTATCGCAAACTCGTGAGTCGTTTAGTTTACCTCACAGTAACTAGGCCCGATCTCTCCTTTGTTGTAAATTGTCTCAGTCAACATATGCATGAACCTCGTCAAGAGCACCTTGATGCTGCCTTACGCATTGTTTGGTATCTCAAAGGCACTCCATTGCATGGCATATCTCTTCTGAGCAATAGCAACTTTGTTCTCAATGAATACTCTGATTCTGACTGAGCTAGTTGCCCTGTCACCCGATGATAAACCCCTAGCTACATCACTTTACTCAGCTCGGCTCCTCTATCTTGGAAAACCAAGAAGCAGTTGACTGTCTCTCGCTCCTCAACAGAAGTGGAATACTGAGCAATGGCCTCTGTCACAGTCGAATTAGTTTGGCTTCGACGTCTCTTAGCTGATCTCACTATTCAATTTTCGTCACCTTCACAATGCAGTTGTGACAGCAAGGCAGCACTTCACATAGCAACCAATCTGGTTTTTCATGAAAGAACAAAACACGTTGAAATTTACTGTCATTTTTTTGGTGAACAAGTAAAAAATGGCTCCTTATAGACTCATCACTTATCGAGCTCTTCTCAGCCAACTAATCTCCTCACAAAGGCTCTTCCCATAGAAAAATTTCATCATCTCCGCTCCAAGTTGGGCGTCTTGATACCTTTTGATACTCCAACTTGAAGGGGGTGTTAGGATTAGAGTCTTGGGCCCACGTGCGGTTTAGCCACGTGGCCCACTTGTAGTTTAGTTGGTTTCTGGGTTGTTATATCATAACCAACCATCTCTYATGTAATTATAAATATACCCAATTTTTCCAATTCTCAAAACTGGCTTACACCTTTTGTATCTAGTTCAACTGGATTCTATTTACTAACAGTAGAAAACCCGTTAATTAAAACCAAAATTCAAAATGCTACGTGATAGCTTTTTATTGGTGAGTTCATGAGTTCAATGCACCCAGGTGCACAGAATGCGGACTCTTGGCGAAATGACCATCGCTGGTGGCTTACAACTGATTCAAAATCCATGTGTTGTGCAGACAAAAACCATCGAAGATGATGGAGGGTGATTTGACCCGACCTCCTAACTAAGGGACACGTGGATATGACTTGACGTAAGCGATAGCTCGGCATGACAGTCTGGCCACAACTCGACGTAATGAGCTCRCTAAAACCCCAATAGAACAGCTCGCTACAGTCCGCTACAGAATGGCTTGCACCAAGGCAGGTCGCTATAGAGGAGTTCGCTACACAGGAGCTCGCTATTGAGTAACCCGGAGTCTTCGGGCAACATCTTATCCGACAAGATCGTGCTTTTCAGTATGCTCCCACGTCTCTTGTCCGGCGGTGCAACACCTGCCAATCCAGAGGACTGCGCTCACGTCTCACGTCAGGCGGCGTACACGCCAGCTCTGCATAATGTCTCTCAGGTGACAGGACCGTACCCTGCGACAGATACATGCGCCAATCAAATCAGCCTGACGAATAACGGCTGTAGAAGAGAGCCAGAGGCGGTTACACCCGATTTGCAGCGCATTAATATATAAGGGCTTCGACCCCCAAGAAAAAGGTAATTGAATTTTTGGTAATTGAGTAGTGTGTATCCCCACTCTTAGCTCGTCATTACTCTCTAAGCTTCTCTCTCAGAGTTCTAACTTAAGCATCGGAGTGTTCCCGCCGGGCGAGCTCCCCGGGAATCCTTCATCTTCTCCTTCTCAGGTGTTGTCCGTTACCAACTAAGAGCAAGGCCCCTTCCAGCTAAGAGTGATCAGATCGCACTACATCAGAAGAGATTGAAGAAACGACTTGACTCAAAATCAAGAATCCTTATCTTCTGGACCCTCCCCAATCATATTTCCTCACCCATTTTAAAAAGAAAAAAATAAATAAATCAGATCCCAATACAGTTCATTGTCTCCCCCCAATCAACCAGAGTTTGCCACCACTCCAATCACTGTCACTCTCTCTCTCTCTCTCCTTTCCCATTCTTTTCTCTTTATCTTCCATCTCCCATTTGTCTTTTTGATCTTCTTCCATTTATTACTCAGAAACCAACATCAGTGAAATCAGATACACAAAAGAGCAAAGTAAGAGGTCAAATCTGATAAGAATATCGAATCGGATCACGAGTTTATAGCTGTTTTAACTGATCAGTGATGAACCCATCTCAAATTCCAAAGGTCTTCGTAATCAAGTACAAGATCCGATACACATAAACCCACTGAGTTATAGGTGTCTTTCGCCTCACACTCTCTTGGGCAGTTGAAATTCAATTGTAGGAAAAGCAGAAAATCAAATTTGAAGAGATGGGTATTCAAAGTCTTCGTCCTCATCGTCAACTTCATTGTTCTCGCAAGTGGGCAACTTCAGACTGTATGAGCGCTAGAACCAGAGTTTTGAGCTGGGATGAAGAGGACGAACGGTCAGGTGGGTGGGCTAGAAAAGGTAAAAGAGGGAAGGAGTAAGGAGAGGTATCTAATCTGTTGCTTTCTATTAATCATGTAAGTTGTTTATTTATTCTTTTTTGTATAATCTTCTTCCCACACATTTTATTAAATGTTGTTCTTTGTTGAAGATGGTATTAAAGAAAAGATCAATTGAGCTTCTGTGGTGAGTGTTTTTAGGGGCAGGTTTTATCTCTCCACCTCCTCTACCTTCTCTCCTTCTAGAATCGAAGGCTCCACTAGCGAGGCAAAGAGTATTGCCATGGCTTTTCGGGTTTGGATTTCCAGACCTTGGAGGGCACGTGTGTGAAACCCAAGGTGAAGAGGAAGAAGATAGATCAAACTGCAGCTAGCGATTGGGTAGAGTTGCAACTTAGGTATGGGCTGATTAATCAACCCGAGCCCAAAATTCAGGCTTGACCTTGAACTTGGATAATTCTGGGTTACCTTTGAACTCGGGCTTTAAACCCAATTCTTAGTGTTGGGCCTAGATTGAGCTAAAACTCAGCTCAGCCTGCCCAATTTGCACCCTTATGAATGGGTATATTAGTCATTTTTCCCTTTTGTTAGCAGATTTTAATTGAAGGGGTATATGAGCATGGGTCGGTTCGGTTTGGTTTTAAAGAAAAACTCGAAACCCTACCTTATAGGGGTCAATTCTAGGCTTTTGGAACTGGAACCTAACTTGTCAATATCGGTTTCAAGAATGATTTTGACCTTAGTGGTTCTAGGGTCAGTTTTAGGATCTACTTGTTAAACTCGTTCTTTCTTTACACCCTTGGCCAAAAAAGGGGGAAAACGTTCTTTAAAAACTTGATTTTCAATAAAGATAATATATAGTTTAAAAAAGTATATTTTTTTATTGATAAAGTTGAGTAATTTAATATATAGATTATCAATTTATCATAATATATTAATATATGGTTCAAAACTCATCATTATAATTTAAATATTGCAAATATTACCTTTTACAATACTTATTATATACATTCAAATATTAAAACAAAAAAAAAGATTAAATCACATAAGTGACTCGATGGTTAAGTGAGACTATGGTCTTTATAACCTAATCATGAGTGTTCGGGTTCAAATTTTCACATCGTTAAAAGTATTTTGAGATTTATTTCAAGACAAATAGTTCAATTACAAAATTGGTTCCACGAGGGCCAACCAAGGTCGGGTTTCCAAGTTGGTTCGAGTAGGATAAAACTCTAGACCTTGGAACCAAATTGGGTTGAGGTCTAATTCCAAATTCTTGGTAACAAATTGAATAGGGTCAGTTCCATTTTCCTTACCTTATAGGTATATCTAGTTATCTACCAGATGTCAAAAACTTAAGGGGARGTCTATACTATTAGCAAATGCCAAAAAGTAGGGTATGGTTCAACAACTTTTGAAAGTTCAAGGGAGGTTTCAGCAATTCACCCTTTGTTTGAAATTAAAGATGAAAATCAACCACAATTCTAGGGCAAGAAATGGGGCCTCAAGTTGGGTCCGGTTGAGATCACTCCCAATCCAACCCAAATTATTGTTGAAAACTCAATTAATCATAACTCTAACCCTAATCGAATCTTATTTGTTTTTGTGAAAATTATGATTTACCCCATCTTGTAAATTTTTATTTATTTTTATTTTATTATATAAAACCCCCACCTATGACACACACATCCTCCCCTTGTATTGTGTCAAATACCCCCACCTGTGACTAATACAAACGGTTACAAATTTGTGAAGTGGAGAATCAATAATTTGCACTTTATTCTTTTAAGTTGGGTTCAAATTGTGTTAAAATAGTTGTCATGATCCAACCTCTAATTCGACCCCAATTGAACCTCCAACTCATGAATCTCTTCAACACTAAACCAACCCATTCAACAACTAAAAAAATGCCTTCCATGAACTATTACTAATTTATAATGGTTAAAAACCAGAATTGAAAACCTATAGCTTCTGAACAATACAAAAAAAAGTGCATGTAAATGTTAGTCCGTCCCTACAAAGCTACTGACTCGCTGACTGCCTCTAGTCCCCCATAACCATAAACATAATGGGAAAAACAGAAAACCAAATAAGACCGGAAATGGACTGATAAATGAGGGTGACACGATCTTCATCGGCTTGAATTTCAGTGACAATCACCCACCAAAACCAAAGCTTCCGTATTCTGATTCCCTGTAAGTGGGAAATAGCTCCGTGCCTGAGTTTCCCGCTAATGCGCTTGTCGTAGTAGAGGAGGTCGCCGGCGTCAACGTAGCATGTGGTTTTAAGCTCCACCCGGAAGTCTCCATTTCTGGACAGCGAGTAGGACTTCACCAAATCCGGCAGAAGTCCCTTTGGGAGGCCGTGTTGGGAAATAAGATCGCGGACAGTGGTGATGGGCTCGATGGGGTAAATTATCGGTAAGCTGATGACGTTGTCGTTGGCTATGGCAAGAGATTGAGAGGTCGCTGTTGAAGCCAACAGGACACAGAGGAAACACAGGATTCTTGGCGAAAGGGCCATCGTTCGGAGGCTCCCAAGTTCCAACTGTCTGAAAATCCGTGGCCAGTGCGGACAAAAGCATGAACAGAGGAATGGAATAACCAACGACTTGACTCAAAGTCAACAACTTTCCTCTCTCTCGTGTCAAGTAAGAAAAGGGAAGGGTGGCATGTCTGACTCGCCCGTGTCTGACGGGTTGCTGACTGTTTCAGTTCTGAATCTTTTGTTGCGTATGCGTAGGAGCTAATCGGTTTCAGAAGCCTGGAAGTTGGTCGGAACATTCTGTGGTAAGCAAAAGTAGGTTCTGATTAAGAAAATGTTGTAACACCAATTAATGAGGGTAAATTCGACCTCCAAACTATCGAACACGTGGCATATTTAGGTGGATTTGCAACATTGTCTGTCATAATCTTAGAGGACAAGAGTCACCTCGTGGACAGGTGAAACCACCTTAGACTTCTTAAACTCATCTCATATGTGCAGGCAATTCCGACCTCCACAAGAAGGCCCACATTCCAATACTTGTCCATCAAGCGACCACCCGGCAGCACATGCAACAAGATCATTGACACGTAAGATAACTTGCCAAGTAGCCAGTCTCGGGCCCACTTCATGCATTGGAAACATGAGGATAGATCGCCATAACATGTCACAGCTAAGCACCAAGTGGCCGACACATGCAACAGGTGGCTTAACAAGTAGCCTTGATTAGGCTCCAGGTAGCTAGGTCGGGTTCCAGGTGTCTCGATCAGATACCAAATGGCCTAAATCGGGTCATATATGCAAGGTTTAAAGTATCGGAAACACAAAGTGTATCAGAAAGACAATTTTAAGAAACATATCAGGATACGTTTTGGATACGCATGGATACATACGAAAAATCAAGATACACATAAATATGTTAAAAAATTCAAATAAATCATAAAATATATATTATTAACAATGCTTACAAGTTTTATATGATTGTAAATAAATCATTTAAATGTAAAAAACCATAATTTTAACTTTTATATAAAATGTGACATATCGATACATAATAGTAGCCATTGAAAAATGATGGAATAACTAAAATGTGAAAAAAAACAAAAAAAAAACTAAAATATGAATGTATATACATCAATTTTCAAATAATCGATATAATTATCTTAATATTTATTAATATATAAATTTTAATAATTAATTTCAGCATTTATTAATAAGCACCACTAAGAAAAGAAAAACAATTGACTTAAAACTAAAAATGCATGTAATTACAGCAAAAAAAATCAGATTGGTTTAGTGACGATATTATGTGCATTAAAATTTGGTGACAAGGGAGTTTTTCTATTGTTAATATTTGTAGTTTTTACACTAACAAAACGAAATTAATGAGAGAGAGAGAGAGAGAGAGAGAAAGAGAGAGTTATTAATTAATAGAATTAATGAGAGATATGCAATTAGGTGCTAAAATTCATATTTAAATTTAAATTTGCTTTAAATATAAGAGTAATTAACTAATTAATGAAGAAGTTAGACTTAAATAGATAAGTAATAAAAGAAATTAATGAAAGAGATTTGGTATTAAATATAGATTAATTGAACAAGGGAAACCGAAACGATTCGGTTTGTATCGACTGGTACAAATCCAAAACGGCTCGATATGGGCCTGTACCGGTCAATACATACGAAAAGAAACGGAACACATGAATTTTACATGTTCCATGTATCGGTTTCTTATGAAAATGGTATGTATCAGCCTATATATTACAATATTTTAAACCTTGCATATATGCCGGAACCAAGCACTATGTGGCCGAGGTGTCTTGACTGAGCCCCAGGTGTCCTACCTGAACTCCACCGAGACCAAGCTCTATCCCACAAGAATGTACTCTGATAGGCATCCCGAATCCTATATAAGGGGCAGGTTACACTTAATTCATTGAATATCCAACTACTCTCTAGATAGCTCAACGTAACTGACTTGACTGTCAGAGTTAAAAGTGGGTTTTAAGTGGGTGTTTGGAAAGAGGAACCCTTTCCTTAATTTGCCCATTTACGCCTTTTATCTTCTTGTTATATCAGCGGATAATTGAAAATGTTTTTTGATAAGCCTATTTTCTGAAGAAACGGTCACTCTCAGCTTTGGAGCGTTTCTTGAAATTTCAAAGGATATGTAACTTTCTAAACTGGGAGAGCACCTGAGACACAAAAAAAAAACAAAACAAAAATACTCAACATCTGATGTGTTCATCACTAGCTAACATGTTTTCCAAAAAATTGGGTATTTCCATGAGGGTCCCAAAAAATTGGTATGAGAAAATAATTTCGAGGTACATTCACTTTACGAATTAGCTGAATACATTGCTGTACTTTTAGCGGGCTGTGGAATCAATGATAAGATTATAAATTCGTGGGCCCTATTAAAAAAGGTGCGGGTATCATGTATTTTATTGCTGTCTGAAACCTTATCATTGCTTTCACAGCCCACTGAATAGCCCATGCCCAATTCTCAAGGAGCCATTCATCCGCCCCAAGATTTTTATTGGGCCGGCTGGATCTATTAATCCATGTCAGAATTGCTTGTCCCAATGCGTTTAAATGAGAAACGATTGGTTATGGCGTTTGTCTAACCAATAGTTTCTCATTTAAACGTTGGGACAAGCAACTCTGACATGGATTAATAGATCCAGCTGGCCCAATAAAAAATCTTGGGACGTCATTGAATGAGCAAAAGTGAATTTACTATTATTCTTTCATTTTTTAAGTAAGATTAGACAATGACCATTTTATCCATAAAAACTATCATTATTCAAGGGACAATATTGTCCCATCATGTGTTAATAATTTTTCCAATAAACAAGAAAGTTATTAATGCAAATGGGTAGAGGGTAATACTTAATTGCAAGCAGGAATCATTTTTTTCCCATGGGACCCACCAATACTACAATATGAATGCATGTGACTTGATCAACTCTTGCGTTGACCAATTTATTGACCCTTGTTTAACCTAAAAAATGAACAAAGGCCAAGTAGCAACTAAAAAGGAAAATATAAAAGGGTAACTTATAGATAGGTACCCTATACTTTGGGGATAGTGACAGATGAGTAACATAAACTTTCAATTGCAATAGTTGAGTACCTTTAACTCTTAAAAGTAGACACTTGGGTCCATCTATTAGTATTTTGTCGGTTAAACATTACATAATCTAAAAGATGCCCTTCTTGTGTATGTTTTTAGATCATTCTACATAGTAGAATCATCACCAGAAAATGTTGACATCGAAAATTTTGAATATGTTATCCAGCTGTCCATGTTAGAATGTCATCATGGGTAGACATTTGGTTACTTAAGAATGATCTCAGAAATACACAAGAAGGGTTTTTTTGGCATTATGTAATGTTTGACTGACGGAATATTAACGGATGTACCCAAGTGTCAATTTTTAAAAGTACAGGATAATCAAGTGTTGCAATTGAAAGTTCAGGTACCTATTTGTCACCACTCCCAAAGTACAAGGTAATTTACCCAATATAAAATAATAAAACAGTTATGAGCTCTGCTGGATAGAAACATGCTTTTCTACTTTTTCATATCTTTGACACGTGTAATACATATTATCATGTAAGGCCCATTTAAAAACCTTGTCAGTTTTCTTTTTCTCCTCTCTTTAAACAAATTACAGAAAGGGGTTGGAAACTAAAACTTGGCCTGGAGATGAGACTCGTATAAGTGACTGAAACACCATTAGAGGAAACTCTGGTACTTGGTAAAATAAGATGTACCCTTTAAGGGCATTTATCTTAACCTTTTTTGAACTTTTGATTGCATTTTAAGCAGTCCCCTTAACAGTCATGGTGGGAGTGATTTCAGCACATAGACTTGAATACTGATCACTGAAACCATGTCAACTGAAGGCCTATATACATATTATACTTTTAAACTGGTTTCTGGTTGGCAATCCTCTGAAGCTAGCATGATAATGCTAGTGATTGGATAATTTATACCTACTGCTCTTGATGGGAATATGATTTAGTTCCTCTCTACTCCGTGAGTAGCATTGTAACTTCGTTAAAAGGAGTTGGCACCTGCAAAAATAACAATTTCTTGTTAACCAAGTAAAATGGCACAATAGACAAAAAAAGGTCTATTGTTAACAATTTCGGGAGTATATCAGAAAATGACAGGACTTAGATATTACTGACTTGCATAACAAACTTACAAGGACAAAAAAAGGTCTGAATCAGACCTGAAGCCTAGTAAAATTTGGTGGGGGCTCATGGAAAGAAAYAAATGGGAAAATAACAAACATTTCTAGGTTTCAAGCAGCTAAACATAAATGAAATGAAATGATCTGTAATCTGTAAACAAAGAACATTACTTAGGTTCAAGCAGCTAAACATAAATGAAATGAAATGATCTATAATCTGTAAACAAAGAACATTACTTAGGTTCAAGCATCTCAACATAATTGAAATAGACAAGAAAAATAGGCAAATCTTTGCAAACACCAATTCGTACCTCAGCAATCACTGCTGCTTCTAATCCATGATAATAGGGAATAAATTGATGTAGTTTCACCAAAATTACTGAACTATGCCATCATTTAAGGTGTTGAATGCAGAACACACTTCTCTTGACCATTAATACAATTTTGGTCATATAGATATCTATCCTAAGGTTCTCAATGAGTCTATAAACCTTTCCTTTACTAATTTTAACATTGGAACACATGGATCAGTCATGCATTTGATAGAAACTAACAATAACTATCAGTCATGCATGATTGCAACCGTTTCACATATAAAACATACTGCAGATTAATGTAATTTTCTGCAGAAGGGACTAAACTGATCTATAATTAAAAAACTTAAACACTTGTCATGTCTATTCAATCTACATATTCACCCAAATTATATAATACAAAGAAGGAATGCCATGCACCCAAATCATCAGTATCTGCAACAGTTTCTATAATTCCTACATGCACAACCATCATACTATCCACATTATATCAATTACAGCATTAGCTAACAAACAGTAATGCTTCGGCATTTGGAAATTGGAATGATTAAAGACATGGGTGGTTAGGATTAACCAACAAGGAAAATACCCCCCTTAACTCCAAGTTGAAATATATGTAACCTACAGAAGTGTTGCATATTGTGAAAATCTGATGAATAAATAAAACTACAATTTCTATCGTTCAAGCTCAACATTAGGATTAACTACTTGGGTTCAGCACATGAATCCTGTCCACCCATTGCACTCTATCAAGAGTCATGTTTTCTGTCAAATTGTAAGTCCAAATTTCAATGGTTCAAAGGTTAAATCAAAACAACCAAGTAGGCTATGTATGATTAACATTCTTATACAATGGTTGGATATGTAATCTCTTCCCACCCCCAAATAGACACACATACACATACAGAGTTTCTTGGCTAAGGCCATTTTTGTCAGAAAAAAGGAAACTGGTGAACACCTAGAAACATTTATAAATGTAAAAAAAAAAAAAAGTTGCACCTATTTTTCATATTATATAATGATGGATAGAGCTTATTGTTCTTCTCCAAACCAAATTAGAAAAAGCGAAAGGAAAGAAAAAAGAATGTAAGAAGGAAAGGAACTCCAGCAATACCTGGTCACCATCCTAGTTGAACATTCAGTGGTTTAGTTGCCCCCTAAAAGTATGCCAATCAATGAGGTAATAGTTTTACCTAAAGAAGGGGAAATCAAACTAGGCTTCAATAAGATTGTCTTGAAAACGAGAGCCTAGCAGGATTGATGTATTTCTTGTAAGGGATTTCAGAGTATCTTATTATAATCACTTCAGAAAGATGACCAGCCTTCTCATATCAAGATTTGCATGAGCTCTCAAAACCCCAAAACTTCCGCAGCACAAATACTGGCCTACAGACAAACAAAGGACACAGAATTTGGATTTGAAGGCATCATGATTATCTTACACCATTACAGAGATCCATCACCTAGGATTTGCAATGAATGCTTCATTCTAGTTTCTCCAAGAGCAACACAGCTTATGGTTTTCCAAAGTCTAGCATAAGAACAATAGCTATAGTTACTTAGGACCATCTGCTCCTATACCAATTGATGTAAGATTGGAATGACCCAAAGATGAAAACAGAAAGTTACTGATGGAATAAGAAGAGTTTAGAGATGATGTTAGGATTAAATGAAATGATTATTAGGAGTTAGAAAGGTTCTAGATGAGCTTGCTGAGATCTGCTGAGATCTACAAGTTTTATCTTCAATTTGAGATGAAAAAAATAGAAAATCTAAAAACCAAGCAGAGATGGAATTTCTAATGAAACTTTTAGAAATATTTAGAATGATGGGCAGTATAAGCAATCTAATTTGAAAGCATCCTGAGCACTTCCCTTTGTGGAAAAAAATGTCAAAATTTCACAAACTAGACGTTTAGATGGAGTGCCAGGATGAAATATGGTAGGAGAAAGGATGATGAAAATCTATAGAGGGCGTACAGATATGATAGCAATTAGAGATGGTTTTGTACAAAATGATGAAAATAGCTGAAGAAGAAATTTTCAGATTTTAATCTAAAGACAAACATACGTGGATCAAATTTCATCCTTTAGGGGTGTTGAATGAACTCTTTATGAAGAATTTGAGGTTTCTTGATGGCTTTAATGGCTTCTTGCAGATCGGAGAGAAGATAGAGAAATAATAAATAAAGAAAATAAAATAGAACATGGAATCACTCAACACGGACCTAGAACTACTCTAGGACTTGCGGGAGTCCTCTCCAGTATCATTCAAATATCGTTTACCACATTTTCACTAAAATACCGACCATTTGACTCCAGAATTAATCTCTGATATTTTAGTGTCAGAAGTAATGGTTAGATGATGATGAAGGGTGACACTCTTTTTATTTACACACTAACAAATAAGATATCAATTCTATCTTTTCTTTTTAGTACAAATCCTTCTTTATATATTAGAGAGAGATGTATCATAGTTAAAAGCATGCTATAAATGGATTGCAGAATAAGATGTTTCAATCCTCTGATATCAAACTTGGTTAAAAGGACACCTCCTTGACTCTTAGCATGTTGCTACAATTCCTAATTTTGTAGCAAGCAGAAGGTAGAACAATTAATGGTTTGTTCTTCCCTCTGTCATACTCTTCCATCTTTTACCTCCTGTCTCCTACCACAAAAGGTAATGTTAAAAAAGGAGCACCTCAAATGAAACATGATAAGAATATCATACAAACATTGCAACTAGAATGTTCAGCTCAATCTGCTAATACTCAAGGGTCGTTGGAAACAAGTGATTAATCAAGATTCTGTTCTACCACTCCTTTGTGTCTATGAAAGCTGCACATAATCAACATGTGTTGGAACAACTTCAAAGTACTCCTATCCACATTAATTTGTTTTTCGCACACTTGTTTTAAAGCCTCTTCATCCTGCATTTGGGCACTCCCAACTCATTCCATCAATGTTTTTCATTCACATTTGACTAAACAATATGAATATCTTTCTCCTCATTTACCAATCAGCTTCAAATCATGATGAGTTTCCCTAGATAGCACATCAATGATCCCATTGTTCTATCCATCTCAGCTAAGGCCACTCAGCGTACATACTGTTTCTTGATTACCTAAGAATCAAATCAGGCAAAACCACAATTTGTTTCATCTAATGAAACTTCTGCAATAATCTAATTAGTACACATTGGTTTGCATGGAACTTAAAAATGACTTCATTATTCTCGTGGTCAAGCAAGGTGCTTCTGTGAGAGAAGAAAGATTCACCCTTTATTCTTGAGAAGATTGGTCCATTAAAAGAAAAAAAACTTTCTATCTTAATTTGAAAGCCTTAAATTGTTACCCAAAATTTAATCATGCACAACCAAAATTAACAAAGACAAGATTCTTATATCCAAATTAACCATTGCATACTTTAAAAACACATGCAACCAGAGTGTTCTTTGCCTAGCTTCTTGTTATTTTTGGATGAGTTAACCTTGAATTTGATGTTTTAATAGGTAATTTGACAAGTGGCATATTGTATTTTGTAGCTATGATGTTTATAGTTCAAATAATTTAACCCGTTTATGAGTTAAACCTACAAGGATAGAACATAATGCACTTCTCATTTTTAAAAATATGATCCAACTTGAGTTTTTCTTGATGATTGATCCAACTTGAGCTTTTCTTGATGATTGATCCAACTTGAGGTTAGCCATCAAAAAAGATCAAAAGTATTACATGGAATAACATGCATGGTCTGCCGTCTGCCTACTTTTTTATTGGTAGAGAAAAAGATTAATATCTGGCTGTTGTCACCATGGTGAAGAAGACATTATAGCAAGTACTAAGGAATGAGTGTCCATATAATTTGAACCCCAACTGGACAATTTCACAGCCACACTACACTCCTACCAATGAAAGAGCTGTAAAAAAAATGCATTTTTTCAATGAATCCATTGGTTTTCCAGATGTTCTGAAGCTTTCCTTCTTTTGGAATCATTTTGTGCACCAGTATCAGTTGAAAGCAGATTTAAATTGTTGTCATCATCCACAACTTCATCCTCATCATGAATTCTTCGAATAAAATGAACCTTGGAAAACAATTGACTTTATAAACGCATCATCCTCTTCTTCCAATTTCTTATCCTTTTCCCGAGTTGTACATTGCAGGGCCTTGAGCATTTCATCCACACTCACAGAGTCACAGTTGCATGTCTTGATTTCATTGGTTTCATCTCATCCAGTGCAGCACGTATGTCTTTTTCTCTTTCTGAATCCAGTGTTCTGTTCTCTAAAGATTTCATTGTGTCCCCCATCTCCCCTGTATCCCTTTTTCTCTTCTCTTCCTTTCTCTCGTCCTTCTTCAAAAACAAAATACCAACTCCTTATTGTGAACCTCTTTGACGATGAGGCAACGCTGACAAGAGAGATTGAGAGGGAAAGCAGGTGATGATGGTGGTGGTGTTGCAAAGGAGCATGTTTCTGTTACAGTTGCAGCTTGCAGCTGCAACTGAAGAAGGGGTCGTTTTTGAATTGCCTGGAATATAGTTATTTTTAAACTTATTTCAGTTCAAAAGTTGGTCTGTTAAGCAGTTGGCTAGTCTGCCAGTCCAGTTGTAATGGTTGTAATACCAACTATATTAACCGCACTAATTAGAAGCTCGAGTTAGTTTTTTGGTGGATCAATCCTCTCCCTCTTTTTCTCTCTCTTCCCTTCTTTTCTCCCCTTTCCTCTCTTCCGTTCTCTCTTTCATTTCCGTTCCCCTGCAACTCGTTGCAACCAAGCTGTAAATGGGAAACCGAATATAGGTCGATGGCGACTGAAGGAAGATAGACAAGTTTTAGAGTTTCTGGGGATTCTCTGCCACGGTGGCTCGGTCTAACGAGTCCTGGAGTGAGAATGTGACCCCATGCGCTTTTATAAGCTCAAAACAGCAGACGCAGAGGCTATGAGAGAAGGAGATGAATGAGAAACATAAACCCAATCTAACACAATCTCTAGATCAAACTTATCCTAATCCAATTCAAACTCCTTCCATCTTATTTCAACCACCCATATTCCCTAATAGAAACAGAAGACTCAATGCCTCGAATACGAACAAACTAAAATTTAAAGAAAAAAAACCAAGAAATATAGCCGAAGAGCAGGGGGAAAGGAAAAATTTTACCTTGAGAAGATCTTTCCAGGATCCTTCACATGAAACCCCATTCTGGCAAGGATGCACAGTCCGAAACTGGCCGGCGTCAAGCTTCTTATTGATGAGGCCGACCTGAAAATATATATAGTAAGACGGCGGCAAATCCACCCTGATCTCCTCAACGTCGAGCCACAAGAACAAACGCTTGACTCTAATTCCCTTGAGATTTGTGATCGAACCGTACTTGAGGGTACCGGTGATCTTCCGTTCGTAGTAAACCAAGTAGTCAAACTGAATGGAACAAGGTTTCTCCATCTCGACGACGAACCTTCCATCATTGGCGAAAGAGAAGTTCCTCACCGAGCTGGGTAAGAGTCCACTCGGCAGCCCGAATTGGGGGAGGAGATCGAAGACCGTAGTGCCATTAGAGATTGGGAAGGGTGAGGATGCGAATGCCGCAGCGGACAACAGAGTCAGAGAGAAAACAAAGCGCAGAAGGGCTTCCGGACAGGGAACCATCGTCGACCGTGTAAGCATAACTGGTGATGGAAGGAAAGGATTGGAGGAGAAACATAGAAGAGTCAAGCTCGGAAGTTTCTCTCTCGACGTCAGTTGCTGAGTCTGGAACCGGAACTGCTTGTAACGACTAACGAATGATCAGATGTTACGAAAACAGAGAAGTTGATGGATTAAGGAATTCGATGCCACACACGCAATCACGCATCGATCATCAAGAGAAGAGTTTGTCGTTTTTAACGACCAACAACTAACTTACCGTGAATGGGCCCACCATTTTATCTGGTTTATTAGGATCACACTGGAATCCATACCCACCGTTCATTTGGTTTATACAAGTGTCAATGCAAGCGAATACAGACTACAGAGTGCTTTTTGAATAAAAAAAAATCTGTGTTAAATACTTAGAGGCATGGTTTTCAAAACAGGACCGAACCGGACGATCGGACCTGAAAAATCGGGAACCAATTCCGTTTTATCCCATAATTATTATTTTGCCAAAAACCATTGATTTGGTCAGCAAACTGCTGATTTGGGTAGTCAAACCGTTTRAACTGTTTAATGGTTTTGGCCGTTTTTTATTTATTTTTATTTTTTTGTTAGAGTGGGCCATCCATTCAATTCGAACGGTCAAACTGTTCAACCCAGGAACCAAACCCCTGACCGGTTTGTTGTCTGGTTTAGTTTTAAAAACCTTGCTTAGAGGTGTAAATTGGGTTGTGTTACCCACGACCCAAAACGATTTTGGATCGATTCAGCATGGCCCGTCACGATTCTATGGGTCGTGCTAAGCTTGGGGTTTCAAGTCCATGGTTTGGCATGGCACTACACAATTGCTCGCTAGTTTTACCTTTTTTTTKGGGGGGGGGTTATAGAAATACCCCCAACAGTTATAAACAACTATATAGAGGGTATTTATGTATTTTGGCTTTAGGGGAGAAAAATGACAAAAATACCTCTCTAATAGCTATATAATAGCTAGTTTGGGGGGCATTTGGGTAAAATGATAAATGGCCAAAATACCCCTCCCAACAACTAAAAARACAACTAGTTTTTAAGGTATTTTGGACAATTGAATTATTTTCAATTCCTATAAATAGTCATGTCCTCCACCATTCTGAATACACAATACCCTCTCTACTCTTTATTTTATAGGAAACAAAACTCTCACCTGCCTCTTGTTTGTTGTGGGCAAACCATTTGTTGCCATTCTATCAACTCCCAAACAGCCAAAGTGAGGTGTGGGAGATTAAAAAAAAAAAAAGGAATTGTCATTGGGGTTTATTTTGAATGTTTAAAGAACAATGAAGGATAAAATTGACCGAAAATGAGTAGTTTTGGTATTAAGAAAAATTATAGGGTAAATTACAAAGACCCCCTGTATTATGGGGTCTGTGACAAAAACCCCCTATACTTTGTTTTGCGACAAGATCCCCCTATACTATGACCGTGAGACAAAGACCCCCTTCCTTAGCCTTCCGTTAAAAAAGATGAAAAGTCCATTGCAATATTTTTTAATCCCCACACTACTCTTGTAATAACTATTCTGACAATTTTAACCCTCTTTTCGTGTTTTATACGTTTTCTCACCTTATTTCTCCTTGGTGACCAAGCCCCGAGTTACAGTAGCAAAGGACATCTCCCTTGCTAATCAGTTACCATTCTTCCTTTCCTCCAATGTCCAGCTTTAGACTCAACTAGTTTTGTGCTTTCATGGGGATTGAGAAGGATTAGAATCCTCAGCATTGATTGAAACTCTGAATCCCGTAATGGGTTCTCGGTTTCAACTTCTGGGTGGGTTTCTGTATTTACAGTTCAATAACAGTGGTGTCACAGAATGTATCAGGAGGTGGAACTATTGAAGGTACTGTCTTAATTAATGGAAGCGCTTCCATTGGGAGGATAGACCATGATTTTATTTGTGCCACAATGGACTGGTGGCCACCAGAGAAATGTGACTATGGGACTTGCAGCTAGGATCATGCTTCTATGCTCAATCTGGTAAGTTCTATCTACTGGCTATCGATTTCATTTTCCATCTAAATTTAAGTACACATTATGATATCGTTTAACTGGAAATGGGCTAGAAATTTTATTACTCTATAGTTCCTGTTATCAAATCCCATACCCTGTTTAATGTGGGTTTCTCAATCTGTTTTTCTCTCCCCTCTTTGGTTTTTATTCCTGATAGTTTCTGAAATATGCATATTTCTTCTGCTCTTTACAGGATCTTAACAACACTGTTTTGTTAAATGCAGTGAAAGGTACAGAATTCTGATAGTAATTGAGAAACACTTTTTCTATTTTCTTAATGGCCAATGGGGTCTTTGTTTAACAGCTAAAGTTCAGGGGGTTTTTGTCGCAAAAAAAAAGTACAGGGGGGATTTTGTCACTGACCACATAGTACAAGGGGGGTCTTTATAATTTATCCAAAATTATATAATTCGTGTGTAACATCCGTACCAATGGAGTATAAGGGCATGTTAACGGTAGGGGAAGATTTTGTCTATTATAAAAAAAAAAAGAGTAGTAATTTTTTCAAACAGTAGGGTAAGTTTTTTTCGATTTGATAAATGATAGGGTGAGTTTTTGTTTCCTATAATAAAAAAGCCCCAACGTAAATTGAATGGTTAAATTATAGTATAGCATATAGGGTGGTATAATATTTTTTCTTATAACAACCATTAATTATGATAATAAATAATAATTATTAAAATTAATAATTTCTATTTTATTTTTTCCATTGATTTTACTTCCCTCTATGATGTTATGATTCTATGCAAAGGGTCACAAAAATAATTTTACTTTTGACACAAAAAAGCAATTTGACTTTTGACACAAAAATGATTTTAGCACACTATGGGGGTGTTTGAAATTATGTTCATCTCGTGGATGGACCGTTTTGGTCCACTCCATGAGATGAAAAACAATGTCCGGTTTGGTGTGGATGGGATTGGTCCAAAATACGTGGACTGGCCCCTATCCACACCTCAAAATTTCTTAACATTATTTTATTGTGCTTGCACTCCGTCCACACCTATTTTCCATTCTTATTGATATAGTACATCACCTCTCATTTTGCCCTACACCATTTTACTATTGCAAGCTCTTCTCCATCATCGTCTACTCAAGGGAAACTATCCTCTGCTGTTGTGCTCCACCGCAAGGGGAAACTCATTTACAATAATTTGTTATTTCATTTATTTAAATAGTAATCTTTTAAAGTTTTTTATCAATAAATAATACTTTTTATATGAATATTAAAATAAATATTTATTGGTTAATATTAATTTATTGATTATATAAAGTGTAACAAATTAGTCATTTATGAYCAACTGTGTTGATCACTTCATAAATTGTATGAGATACATAAAATCAAAATGTGTGGTGTGGATGTCCGCGCCTATAGAACGCCACTATAGGGTGTGGACTAAACCGTTCTACACAATTTGTCCACGATTTATAACAACTATGGATTGTGGTGTGGTGTGGATTCATCTCTACCACAGTGGTGTGGTGTGACSTGGACTACTTTACACCCACCGATTTCTTATCCACATTAAAGAACAACCCCTACATCTAGCAATTTAATTTGATATGAACACACCATAGGTGATAGGTAGGCTAAGATTTGATACGTTGGTATTTGAAATTGAAGAAGATCTTATATATTTGAAAATGTAATTGTCCATGTCAACCTACTCACTTTTGCTTCCTTATCCCTTTAGAATTTTGTGGTTATTTATTTAAAAATTAAAAAATAAAATAAAATATGGTATGTACAATCATTTCATTTTCCTTTTATTATGAAACATGTAATTACTCCCTTATAAAATATGGTTATCTTTTAACACTAGCTTGTGCATCACATGGGGTTCTTCTAGTGTATTTATATTTTATATGTATTAGTGTAAGAGTATACATTATGCACTTGTGCAAGTAAGCATTAATCATATATGATATATGGTATTCAGATTTAATTTTTATGATTAGTACCAAACTAAGACAAGTATTCACTTTATATACTACTAATGTAGAAGTATGTACTATGCACATGTGCAAGTGAATTGTAAATATATAAGTTACCCTTGTGTTGTGAAATTTTAACTTATTATGATTTGCAACAAAATCAAGGCAAGTTTCTGGCTTATATGTTATAGATTAGTGTAATGGCATCTGCTAAGCACATGTGCATGGTAAATGGTAAAAATATAAGTTAACATTATATAATCAAACTTAAAATTTATGAACTACATCAACACCAAGGCAAACATCTACTTTATATAGTATATACATAGGATAGGTGTATTCACAATTTTAAGACAAATTTTATAATGTTATATCCTTAAAACATCATAACTTTGTCTATGCATATACAATCATCATCATCTAAGCCTTGTCCAAACTGTAAGTGTTGGATACATGAATCATGTTTTGAGTGTAAATAATTCCTACTACTTCAATCCATGTCCTTTTCAATTTGTCCTTAGTCCTAGACCATTCAATTTGCAATAAATTGCTTCTTTGGTGCCATATTGTTAGAATTAATTAACATTAATCTAATCTTAGAGTGTATAAAACTATAACATTTCAACAAAAAGTAGTGGAATTAGCTCAACTTGATATCAACATGAATGAAAGTACCCAAAATCATTAGATTGGGTCAGGGTTTTTTTTTGGTAAATGATTTGGTCAGGGTTGAACTTAACCTAACCTAACCTACTAGAGTTGCACAAGTGCACATAATCCAACCAAATGCATTATGGTTTAGGTTAGGATTTAAGGATTTAGGAGTTTAGAGTTACACTCTATGTTTTAGGGTTTAGGGTTTAAAATTTAAGATTTAGGGTTTAAGATTGAGATGGCAATTTCCACCCTATTTGACATGTAGCCACCATACCTAGGGGTGCTACTTAGTAGGCCCAACCTGAGCCCAAATCGACTCAACTCAAGCCCAAGAATTCAGGCTTTTTTTTTTTATTTTTAAGGCTGGGCCTGGGCCTGGGCCTAGCCCTTAGGTAGCCCGAACCCRACTTGACCTTGTCCCAACCCAAGCCTAGTCCAACCATACACATTCATACATACATATATAGATATGTATTTACA